AACATCAATTCATCATAATTGTTGCACAAATACAATAAAAACTATTTTAAGTTTAAACCATATAAAACACATCAAAAATCATAACTGTTCTAATAGATGATTGTGGAGTAATATCATCCATAAGGATCTATGAACAAAAACAGAAAAATCAGAAATCATATACTATAAAATCTAAAAAATGAGCAGCGGTGGTTATGGACACACTAATACAGAGAGAGATGCAATAAGGTGAAATTGATAAATAGAAAACAACATACTGAAGGTGAGAGAGGTGAGATGAGGAGGCTGGAGGTGAGACACATGAAGAGGCATTAGGAAATTAAGATTTTTAGTTTATATATATATATATATGCAGTAGGGTATAGTAAGAATACAAAAATTTGATCGATTTAATCGAAAGACTGAAAAATTATCCGCATTCCTACTCTATTTTTTTGGCTAGCCAATCAATAAGGTCGAGTAAGATAAAAAATTGTGAGTAATCAAAAATTTGAACTCCTTTACTTTAGGGGAGGTGTATGTAATTTATCTTCTTTTTTTTTTTTTTTTTTTAAATTAAGCAATCTAAAATTGAAATGAATAGAAAAAAAAATTAAAGAGAGATAAGTGCGGATTAGTGAGATTGTTTGACATTAGAAAGTATGCCTGACATTGGGAGCGTACAAATAATATAATATTTTTAAGTGATAATTTATTTTTTTTAGGATTAGTTTTATACTATTAAATTAAAATAGATAAAAATTGAATCTAGATCATTTTTATACTTTTATAAAAGGTAAATTTCACTGACACCCCTTCAATATAAGCATAATTTCAAAGATGTCCCTTATATTTTTTAAAATATCACTGACACCCTTGTCAATAATTGTCGACCAACAGAGAAACAAAAAGTAGATAAAAAGTGACTTTTTACAAATTTACACTTACCAGATCATTTATTTTACATGAATAACCTTCATTAATATACACATATATATATATCTATTCTATACTACTAATAAAAGGAAACTAATGAGAAAAACTTTTAATTTTCTATTCAACCCCTACTTAATCATATAAAGACAATTATATCATATTCTTCACTTTAACTCTCAAACCCTTCCTTTTCTAGGAGTAAATATTTGTAATTACAAGTGCAATGAATATATATTATTACTTACAAGAAGACCTTCCATATTTATAACATCAGAGAAAATTAAAAAACAATATAAGAATAACATTGCTCACATTCCAAACCCTAACTTTTCAAACAATAGAGAAATCTTCAATCTTTAAAAGATAAAATTGTGCTTTTGAAATTTGTTTACCAAATGTTGTATCACAAATGATATGTTAAAATATCATACATTAAATGTTTAGAGGAAGTTAGTAGACCCCACTGATATAACCAATTACACTAATTTGTAATACAAAATTTAGTAAATAATTTGGTATGAATAACATTGATCCTCTGTAAAATAATAGAGAATACTGGTATTTGGGTTCTTCTCTGTAACTTCCATGACTCTCTCCACTTCTGTCTTTAGGTTTTATTTTCCTCTGCAAGTTATCATGAAACTTATGAAGTAACACTTGTAAACAATATTGAAAGATGATGAGCTCAAAGTGCAAGAATTCTTGGTTGTTTATATGATTTTTCTTTTTTTTTTTGGTATCAGTGCTTAGCTTCATTTGATGTTGTCTTACTATCAACTGTTGCTTTGATGATATAATTTGAGTGTAATCTAGGATTTTAAGAGAATGTGATGTGTTTTGTTCACTGTTTAGATTCAATTTTTTTTAATATTTATCTTCTTTGTTGTTTTTATTTAGAAATTTGATTTGTCATGATTTTTGTGCATGAGATTAGACTGTTAATTTCCTAAACAACTATACGCAAATTTTACTTTTTAATTAAATTTTTATTCACTTTTATTGAGTTTTAATCTATTTTTTTTGTCTTCAATTGTCAAACATTTACTATGAGATTGTAACATTTTCCAATCCAAAGGCAATTTGGGGTGAAAAACTCTATATTCTTGATAGAAATTTTGGCAAGTGTTGCCCATAACCATGATAGAAGCAAAATATTTGAAATATAAATATCATAAACAACCAATAGGTATTTAACGACCTAATGTGTTCTTTTTATATTTTGCCTCTTTTATTTTCTAACTTTATACTTATTTTATGCACGCATAAACCACAAATATGGAGATAATCTAGGTACAAAGTAAAAAATAAAAAATAAAATTATAATTCAAAATAGTTCACATACAACGTACGTGGACACCAACCAGTACTTCTAAATATATGTACACATATACTTCTAAATATATATATATAGGCCCACTCACCCTAAAGCCTGCCACTTTATCTACTATTTCTCTTTCTTTCAACTTTAGTAATCTATTATTTAATTTTATTAATTTAATACTAAATTAATATTTTATTTTTTTTATCAAATTAACACTAATTTGATATTTAATTTATCAGGTTAACATTAAATATCATCACATTACCTTTAGTTTCATGAATTAACACCATATTGACCGTTTATTTCATCAATTCAATATTCAATTAACAATCAACTCCACCAAATAAATATTTAATTTTATTAAATTAACATCAAATTGACATTTAATTCTCTTGAAATAACATTCAAAATCATCACTTTAACATTTTTTTTAATTAACATTCAATTTCATCAATTTATTTTTTTAATTAACATTCAATTAGCATTCATACTAATCTAATCAATTTTCACAATTTAAAATTAAGTTTTATCAAATTAACACCAATTGATCTTCAATTTAACATTCAAAATTTGGGGTTTTCGCTTAATTGCATTTTTTTTATTTTAGTTAAATTAGGCTTTTCTTAGGTTTTATGTTGAATTATAATTTTTTTTTTAATGTTTTAGCTCTAAAAAGACATGACGGAGGAAAGAGATAGGAAAAGTTCTTTTAGTTTTTTTATTGAGGGGTAAATTTATCATTAATAGATAGATATTGAATGACATCACTATTTCTTGATGTGATACTAATGTCTTAGATTATAGGGTACTAGTTAAAACAAATCTATAAATTAGAAGGAAAGTACAGTGATATTTCAGAAAAAAACAGGAGGTGTTTCTAAAATTATGCCTATATATAACCTGTCACTGAAATACAAGGGGTGTTCACTGAAATTAGTATGATGTTTTTTGAGCGATTTAATTAAAATAGATAAAATTGAATTTAAATTATTATTATACTTTTATGTATTGAAAAATGGGTAAATTACATAATTAGTCCTTGAACTTTGACTTTAGTTTCATTTTAGTCTCTGAACTTTCAATTGTTCTTATTTAATTTCTCAATTATTAATTTCATCTCAATTAAATCCTTTCGTCAATTTTCATCGTTAGATCAAATAGAAAATAGTCCGATATGATCAATTGGGTCATGTTTCTCGAGAGACGTCGCCTTCTCTCAGGTCAACAGTTTTCTACTTTTAGGACGGATTTTCCTGTTTCTTGGGCTCTGCACGCTCGTCTACGCTCCGCTCCGACCTAGCAAGTATTAATTGAAAATTGATGTTTCCTTGCCTGCATTAAGATTTAAAACTTGTTGGAAAAAAAAAGGTAATCAATCAAAATCAAAAAAAAAAAATGAAAATAGTGAATCAAGATCTAGATGGATACCCTATCTATATGGAGAGCTATCTATATATGAATCGATCTAGACTATCCTCTATTCGGATAGATATGTCTGTATGAGCGACTATATTGATCTTTATATGTTTTGGCCACATCTGTTTCTGCTTCAAAGGATAAGGTTTGGATCTTTCAATCTTATGTAGTGAAGGATGTGACCCTTGTTAGGTCTATAAGATATCACTGCTTTTGGTGTTCTTTTATTCACCTCTTAATAATGAGTATGTAGTTCGATCATTTTTCTTTTTCTCTTCGTAGTAAACTAATGGGGGGATGGGGAGCAATAAATTGAATTACTATATAAAAAAAGAGTTGTAAACTATAAGACTTCTTGTTCGAGTAGGAAGATTTAGATTTTTCTCGTTCCTTCTCTTCGATAAGAATAGGAATTTGAAATGATACAAATTTCACTTCATTATATTATGCTTAGTGACAAAACTTCCTAAGTATATTTTTTCAGATCCAAACTTCTTTGTTCTTTCTAAGACTTCTTCTTGCATAAAAGAACACAATTGTTGCAAAAATCGGAATTTTAGTAGGCGACATCCTCTCTTAGTTTTAAGTAGATGAAACCATTTTGTTTTGGTTTTTCTTCACATTCTTATTGGGTGATTCAGGAATTTGCCTACGCTTTTTTCAACTGATATTTCGATATAGAAAATATCTCTTTATTTTTTCATTGTCGGTTCTCGCATCATTTTCTTGAAAAGATATTGAATCATCGTGGGACACCTTAAAATGATTAATGATTACCATTCTATTATTTACACAAATCTTTCGATGACTTATCAACTGCCACGCTTGAGGAATAGTTTCATAAAAAATGGAGACGAACCGGAATAACGCCTCATCTTGTTTATGGATTGAGCCAAAAAGGAATATATAAAGTTTGTTCTATTCTTTTGTGCGTCTCTATGATGGGTAAATCTTCATGAAAAAAGGGACAAATTTTGTTTAGTTTGTATTTGGATGTAACTATTAAGATTTTCTCTTGAATAAATCTCTCTTAATAGATCTATTTTTGTCCCTCAATTTTGGGAGAATACGACGTTGTGTTATTATAAATCCTTTGATTTGTAATGGAAGAACTAAACTAAGACAATTGTAAGTCCAAGAACCAAAATGAAATCGAAATGAAAGTTCAAGACATAATTATACAATTGCTAACATAATAATTTGATTTCATAAGAATTATTAAATCACTATTAAATTTTAATATTTAATAAAATTTACATGTCATAATAAATTAAATTAGTAAATTATGTCCATAAATATTAAACATTGAATATTTTCTCAGCAAACACTCATACTCCGCCCACGTACAGCCACATTCACGGCGCCTCAAAACAATGAAAGACCCAAAGAACAACCAAACCCAGATCACAAACCCTAACAAACCCTTCACAGAGCTCCTCTGGTTCTTCTTAATCGCATCATGTATCAAATTCCTCTTAATTCCAGCCTACCACAGCACAGACTTCGAGGTCCATCGCCACTGGTTGGCTCTCACTCACTCTCTCCCTCTCTCCCAATGGTACTCCGACGAGACCAGCCCGTGGACTCTGGATTACCCACCATTATTTGCTCATTTCGAACACTTCCTCTCCCTCTTTGCCCAGTTCATTGATCCCACCATGGTCCACCTCCAAAACGGCCTCAGTTACAAGTCCCATCTCACCATTTTCTTCCAGAGAGTCTCAGTAATCGTCTCTGACATCGTTCTGATGTACGGAGTTTATTGTTTGACTCGGAATTTGGAGAGAAGAAAGCGAAATTTTGTCTGGGTATTGGTGATTTGGTCACCTGGGTTGATGATTGTTGACCATATGCACTTTCAGTACAATGGGTTTCTTTTGGGGATTTTGTTGGTTTCTTTGGCGGCTTTGCAGGAAGGAAAGGATTTGGTTGGTGGGTTTGCTTTCGCGGTTTTGTTGTGTTTCAAGCACTTGTTTGCGGTAGCTGCGCCGGTTTATTTTGTTTATTTGTTCAGGCATTATTGTCGGGGTGGATTGATTAGGGGGTTTGGGAGGTTGGTTTTGATGGGGACTATGGTTTTTGCGGTGTTCGTGGCGGCTTATGGGCCTTTTGTATATTATGGGCAGGTAATTTCTCTCTGTTTCGGTATAATATTTGGCATAATCTTTGTTAATGGTGATAATGTTGTTCTTATATGTTTTTATCTTGAAAAAAATTGGTAACATATTGCCACTTGAGTGTAGTTGGCTATTTGAATTTTGAGTTGTTTGAGCAGAGACACTTTTGCTTGTTTTGTTCTGGTGTTGTGTTTACTATAATAATATTTTCACAAATTGTTGTGTGGTGAAGTTTTATTTAGGCTGATTGGAATATTAATGCCAGTTCAAATGCATAATCTTTTTCTTGGATGGCAATTCTATAAACATTTGCTTTATTTACTCCTTAAGATTACCTTGGAGTTCTTAAAACTGCCATTTATAGTCCTTAAATTTTGTGGACAAGGACCACATGAGTGCTTTCTCCTGACAAAGAGATCTGTTCTTTTTGCCAATGCTTTCTTTGACAAAGAACGGTATAGCATAGATTTAGGCGGATTCTCTTACAAAATGTATATATTTAAAGAACAAAAAGGAAATTTGTAAAGTTGCAATCTCAGAATATACCAAGTATTTGTTGCATCAAATAAACCAGCTTCGAACTAACAAGGACCTAAGGAGGAAACATATTTGGTTTTGGGAAAAAATTTCCAAACAAAGAATGGTGAAGGAAGTCAGGAATTTACGTCTGAAAACTCTGTAGAAGACCTCAATGGCAATTGCTAGTTACTTGCTATGAATCACCCAATGTAATGGTATTGTTTGTTCATTTTTGATAGAGTAGCTGCATGCTTTGTTTAAAGTATCACATTGGAACTATAATTGGGTAATGGATCCTAAGTCTCTTATTCTGTGTAATTCCGTGAAGATAATAGGTTGATCCATAATAACACTCTACTGTACTTTATTGCCATAACAGCGCCATAGTAGGTGATTGCTTTTACACCAGGTACTATGATTGTAGGATAAGTCAATTAAAATTGACATGTGGCAGGAAGCATTTACAACCTGGTTAGGGTTGGGGCTTCTCTTCTTAGATTTGTTATTAGGAATTCAAGCAGGCAAATTAATATGTTTAGACCACATAGAATTTTTAGTGTTGACCATGATTTTAGTTCCATTTTTTTAAAGTAAATAACCAGTAAGCGATTATGCTGAGACCATGACCTCAGCCCGAGCTAGGTTAACCTTAAGTCGTGTTTGCCTGTTTTAGATCCAAAAACAAATGTTGATGTTAACATTGCAGCCCAAGCTGTCATGACTCGGGTTGAGGTGGATTCAAACAGCCCAAGGAACATTCTTAGTTGTATGGTCTATACTAAGATCAATGCCATTTGTTTGAAGCACTTAACATGTTGATCCACATGTTTCAATTTACATATCACCTGTTGACTGCTAAAAAGGGAGGCATGATGTTAATTAAAATGAACTAACAGAAATAAACAAATTTTTTGATGGGGCCAATACTAAATATTAATAATGTAAGCATCCCAGTGATTCGAAGAAATCACCATTCTAGCAGCCTTTACTTTTGCTTAAAACTGATAGTGAATTTTAATCACCAGCTCTTCCTGAGATCCGAGAGTTTTGTTGAAATGCAGGATGCACCATATCAGGCTGCCACAATGACCAATTTTGCTCTTGTAGAGTTTCAATTGATGTTGTTTTGAAATTCCATTTTTTGAATTAACTTAAAACAGTTGCCTTGCAGATACAACAAGTTTTAAGCCGCATGTTTCCTTTTGGTAGAGGACTCTGCCATGCTTACTGGGCTCCAAATTTTTGGGTATTCTATATTATTTTAGATAAATTGCTTGCTTTCTTGCTTATGAGACTGGGATTCCACATCCAAGCACCAACAGCTTCATTCACCGGTGGTCTAGTTGGGGATTCCTCTCCTTTTGCTGTACTGCCTACGGTAATCACATTTATTGTGTTGTGCATACACTGAATCTTATTTAGGTCATTGTCAATAAACTATGTGTGGGTTGTCAATCTAGTTCAATCTTTATGGACAGAGTTACTTAACGTGGAACGTATTCTTCCTTTTCCAAGTATATTCCCACAGGGTAGGGAAAAGTGAAAAAGTGCTAAACCTTAGTATATTGAATATGATAGAATACTTGATCCACTTGCATGATTGCATGTGTCTTGCAAGCACAACGGTGGTCAGATATTTTTGCCTTTGTTGTTGTTTATAGTCGTTTTAGGGTTTGAAGGGTTGTCCCTGTTGAATATTCTTCAATGATGAGTTGTTGGCTGGGCTTACAACATAAATTTTTGGCTTTTCTCATTTTGATCATATTATTTTCCACTGATTTTCATCATTATTTCCCCTAGTCTGGCCAAGAACTGATCTTTGAATAAAATTTTCAATTGCAGATCACCCCATTGATCACCTTCATTATGGTCCTGCTTGCCATATCTCCCTCTCTTGTTAGGGCTTGGAGGGATCCCCAGCCAAGGCTGATCACTAGATGGGTAGTCTATGCTTATACATGTGGCTTTCTTTTTGGGTGGCATGTTCATGAGAAGGCATCACTTCACTTTTTGATCCCCCTCGGCATTGTTGTACTGCAAAGCAGGGAGGATGCCAGTCATTACTTCTTGTTGTCCATAGGTGCAATTTTTATATCTCTGTTCCCTCTTTAGAATTTTGATTGATTCAGTTTTAACAAGTGCAGCATTATCTTTAACCTTTTTTCAGTTTCCAGATTTTCATTATGTATGTCTTTAGTTGCCTGAAAACTGCAAAAAACTGGAACTCTTATTCGATTCTCCTTCAATTTATCTCCTATATGTGTTAACTCTATAGATGATCATATTCCTAATTCTATCCATTCTTGTTTGACTACACATCCATCCTAACATTCTCATTTCCCCACATTCAACTTTTGTACGTGTTGTTTCTTAGTTGCCAAACACCAATACCATAAAGCATAGCTGGTCCTATGACGGTTTTATCACACATCCTTTAAGCTTGTGATAAGCATACTGAAATATATGCATTGTTGTAGTTAATTTTTGGTGGTGATGGCGGGATTTGGATGAATCATTTATTCACTTTCCTATTCAAAGACTAACATAAATCTTCTGTTTGCGATGCAGTGTCCTGCTACTCACTATTCCCTCTTTTATATGAAGCTCAAGAGTATCCAATAAAACTGTTGTTATTGCTTTTACATGCCATACTCATGTGGCTTGGATTTTCTGCGTATTTCTCCAAGACCAAAGCTGCAGAAGCAAGTGACCCTGGGCAGAGAGGAGGTGATAAATTTGGACTGAAGAGAAGTCGTGGTTCGGGCTCCAATGACATAAGGTTTCGTATTGGATGGATCATGAAGGTATATCTACTGGGTCTTTTGGTTGTTGAGACATGGGGACAGTTTCTACACCCTATCCTTCTTGGTAATAGACTTCCCTTCTTACCCCTGATGCTGATCTCTATTTATTGTGCTTTCGGTATGATGTACTCTTGGATTTGGCAACTACGAAGGATAATTCGTTCTATTGATTCATAACTTAGTCAAGTCCCTTCTGCTGGTACACATTAGAATTGATTTAAACTTACATTGCAGCTAACTGCACAGGCATTTTATATTGTATCACATTTCTTGTAACATTTTTGTTGGACGGTTTTGCCAAAAAATAACTGAGACGTGTTTTGAATCCCATTACTTACAGGATGCAAAATGATTATAGATAGTGAAGTACCAATTTCTTGTTCTTTTTTTTCCTGGAACCTACCTGTGTTTTGACAGGAACTGGTAAACTAACCCCTTTTCGAATACCCCGACTGATTACTTGGACTAAGCCTATGAGGTATACTCCGTGGTGATGGTCGCAGGCAGTGCTAGACAAGAATGCTAGTAGTTAACCAGGCAAAAGCACAAGTCGTTTTAGTAGCACACATTGGTCCGGTCAATGTGCTGACAAAGAAGCGCAATTACGCTGTTCAGGCAGAAGCGTGTTCTGACAAGAAGAGCTAGAGCTTCAACGGGATTATATGAAGTCAGTGGCATTAGTGAAGGGGAATAAACTTAAGTTAATGACTTCTTTGATTTGACTTCGATAGACTTCTACTTTTTTCGAGTTTGGTAACCTCTAGTTTGATCAGGAAAATCAGATATTAGATGATACAACAACTATTCAACCGGAATCAGAAGGCGTGGATCATTAAACGTACTTATTCAAATGAAGCCTTCCCCCCACCCCTACCGCTCCCTCTCTCTCTCTTCCTTGATGATAGTAGCTGGGTGGACTATTGGATACAAGCTTGATTGTTTAAAGGTATAAAGATAAGGATAATTTTACACACATGCCCACTGTTATGTGTAGTGTCCTTCCTTTGTTTTCAGAGTTTTTGTTTGAATTTATGATCTTTTTAGCACTTTCAATGTTGTCTTATATAATTATGCAACACTTGATTTTTTTTTTTTTTTGTTTTTTAAGTTGGATTCATCTAGTCGGGGGACTAGCCAATCTTGTGGGGACCGCCAGGTTCTTAAAACTCCGGCGGTGGATAGCTATATCACACCCACCAATTCCATTGCATTGCCATCAGCAGCCCTATCTATAGTTCCTTTTCCGGATGGGTGGTCAGTCTATTTTTTTTTGGATGTCCTCTTTCTACTATCTCTTTCAATGTTGATTGACACTGAATCATGTTTTGGCTTATCAAAATGAGTCGTATGAAACTCGAATTTGTGAGTGGGGATGGTACCAACGGCACTGGGTGTCCTTCTCCTATGGCGATCGAAATTAATCCCCCTTAATTTAGGGTGCTCAGAAAAGGTGGATCAAAATTGATCCCTCTTTTTGGGGGTGCGTTTTATAAAGGATTTGGGAGTGGAAAAAAGCTTCGACGCTTTGGAGAGGTGTTTGGTTGGAGAGGAATCGCAGAATTTTTGAAAGTAAGGATAAAGAGGAGTTGTGGGATAGAATAAAGTTATTAGCTTCTTTTTAGGCAGCGGGGCCAGCGGTGGCTCAAATCGCTTTTGTGACATTTCTTTGTCGGTCTTATAACATAATTGGAAGGCTACATCTAACTAAATGAATGGGTTTTTCCTTTTCTTTTTTCTCTTGAAGGGGTGCATTATCATACAGTAGAATAAAAAGCCTAGGTATTAGGGGAGGCTATGGACTGGACAGCATGGCCCGTTTCCCCCATTTCATTCTATTTGATCTTGACTTTAATTGCTTTATAAAGTCGTACGAAAAACTAGTTCTTATTATTTGAGAATTACTCTTTGAATCTCATCGAAAATGTTCGATGTTTCTTGGGACTTCTTTGGCGACCGAGGAGTCGCCGGATGAATTTTGGGATAGATAATAAGAATTACTCTCTGAAAATGTTCGATGTTTCTGAGGACTTCTTTGGCGATCGAGGAGTCACCGGATGAATTGTGGGATAGATAATAAGATTTGGACAAGGATTCGGGCATGACTCCTGTTTCGTCGTGAAATGAACTTGACCCATTCCTACCCAATTTAAGGACTGGGCCTAATATTTTGGTCGAAGTTCTAGGCCCCAGAGTTCTAGCCCATGGACTGATTTACCGGGCTCATTTATGTATGTATACATTATTTTTTTTTATCTAAAATTCGTATCTGTTTTCATGTGATAATATGAAAATTAAGAGTATGTATTACATTTTTGACATATTAATGACATAATGGCCCATGGTCGGGGCCTAGTCTGAACTCCGAGCTGCAATTGGGCTACATTTTTTGTGGTTGGTTCGGGCCATGTTGGATTGAGATGTTCTCCGTTGTACTTTTTTTTAATTTTATTCAATAACAGATCATCCATCATGTATAAGTGAAGGGACCACTAGTACATGAAGGGTCGCATATGTATTAATGGTATATGATCAACTATTGAATAAAAATGTAGCAAGAGGACATAGATTCGGCTATGTCCACCCTTGTTGGACCCTATTGGCTTGTAAATTTCAAGACACATGCAACAAAAACACTATCTTAGTTCCCACACGACCAATATGTGTTGAGCAATGCTATACACTCCAAAAGTGTGCATTAAAATATGCACCAAATCATCTGTAGTTGTTGGATCAATGAGTTCTATTACTGATCAAATGGTTACAGGTGATTTGGTGTACGCTTTTGGTGTACATAATTTTATCCATTTGTGTGTTAGTAACTCCTCAAAACATGATATCAGTTTGGTTTAACACCATACATAAATACCCTCTTAATTTCATGCAACAGTTAAAACCATTTATGCCCAGAAAACTTCTATAAAAGCCAAGAAGGGCTGCATCTCTTACAGCTATCACCCCCCAGAGGAACCATGTTGACCCACCAGCCCCTCGTCGCCATGGCCGCCCTCCTCTTGCTATTCGCAGCACCCTGGTCGGCCATGGCTGACAAGCTCGTGGTCGAGAACCGGAGCTCAAACCACAAGAAAGCACGCATCACATGTTTCCACAAATCCTCCCACAGAAAACCATTCTATGTCAACAAAATTGCCCCAAAAGAAGTAGCCGAAGTGCCAATCCCAAAGAACCTGACACAAGCATTCTGTCTGGGCTTGTATGATAGCAAACTTGTAAAGTTGTATGACTCAAAACAGGACAATGAGAGATGTGAGAACACATGCTCAATAAGGTTGTTGAACACTGGTTACAACTTGTGGAATGACAAGACCAAGAAGTGGGAGGTCATTGCCTCATCAAAATCACATGCTGCATCGCCCAAGTTGTCACCCTTGTCACCCTTTGGATCACCTGCTAAATTGACATCAATGAAGAAATCACATGCTAAATCGCCCAAGTCATCGCCACATGCTGCATCACCCAAGTTGTCACCCTTTGGATCACCTGCTAAATTGACATCAATGAAGAAATCACATGCTAAATCGCCCAAGTTATCGCCACATGCTGCATCACCCAAGTTGTCACCCTTTGGATCACCTGCTAAATTGACATCAATGAAGAAATCAGATGCTAAATTGCCCAAGTTATCGCCACATGCTGAATCACCCAAGTTGTCACCCTTTGGATCACCTGCTAAATTGATATCAACGAAGAAATCGCACACTAAATCGCCCGAGTTGTCGTCACATGCTGCATCACCCAAATTATCACACTTTGGATCACCTGCTAAATCGAGATCAACCAAGAAATCGCACACTAAATCGCCCGAGTTATCGCCATCGAAGCATACTAAATCACCCGCCAAATTGCCCATTAAACACCATGTTATTCCTAATTAGATCACCTATGTATTAATAATTTGTTTTCTTAAAGCCAATTCAAACAAATCATATGGCCAAAGACACATACATAATAATGTGTTTCTATTTGATGGTTTGGTTTGAAATTTGAAGAGAACACTGGTTGAAATTATGGTTGGTTGTGTTAAGGTACTTATGTCTATGCAATTTTGAGTAGGGTAATGGAGTGAACCATGTTACTTTAATTTTTTTAATTATTTTTGATTGAAATAGTTTCACTTCAAAGTTATATTTCTTATTATCTCGGTATGTTCGATAATTCTAAGCGACTAATTTCTACCCTTATATCAAAATTTTGTTTCCATGTTGTGACAAGCAAGGAAGGATTAATAGGGTAACAAGTGGTGATCGCCCTTGTAAGTTGTGGAGATTCTTGTTTATTAGAATTAATATTTTTTTTAATGAGAATATATGAATATGCTCAAACTTCACTTCACCATAAACACGGGTGGAGTCAGAAAATTGTGTCAAGGTGGGCACGAATATTTCAACAAACTAATTTTTTTTTCTTACAATCGAGAGAAATAGGACAATAATATATATTTAATTACATCATATTTAATACTTAAAACTTAAAAGTTCATTAAATTCAACATACCAAAATTTGGTAAGCCTAGTATATACAAACAACAACATTTTTTTTTTCTTTTTACAAAATATAGGCTAATTATTTATATACACAATTATGTTATCATTTTGATATTTATAACTCATTCGATTGATTATACAGTTCAATGTGCACTCTATAATTTTTACCATAATTAAGAAAAATAAATGTTAAAATCACAAGTAAACTAACGAATATGTATATCATGTTTTTTTTAGTCTTAAAAAATATAAAATAATTCTAGTATATTTAAAATTTATCTAGATAGGTACATAACCTTTCCAAAATATGTTAAAAATTTTATATTCATTTAATATAAGTATACACTAATTGATGTGCCAAAAAAATAGGGTGACATATAGATAATTTTAAAAAAAAAATTTGAGGATGAACATGTGCCCCCCTTGGGCATATACTGGCTCCGCCCATGACTCTAAATGTTTTCGAATATGTGAAAATTATCGCTAGACTGCGTTCTTGAATTTTTACCAATTTATAATTATTTCTAATAAATTCCGACAGTGGTAAACTTGAGATATGTTCTAAACATGTTTGAGTTACGATGCCTAATATCCAAGATTAAGAGATTAGTCGGTCCGGACACCCTAAAGTAAGTTTTTTTTTTTTAAACTATTAGGGATAAGAAAAGAATTTACTATGTATGATTTATTTAAATCGTTTTTTAAGTAGGATTTAGTGGTTATGTTCAGAATTCATAGGATAATGTTTTTTTTTTAAATCAAGAATTAAAGTCACCTAAAAAACAAAAACTTTTCAAAAATATTTTAAAAATATAATCAAAACGGATAAATATTTGAAAATTTTAGTTTAAAAATATTTTAAAATAATAATCAAAATATATTAAAATATTTCAAAATATTTTGAAATATAGATAAAAATATACCGTAATATCTCAAAGTTTTACAATTCCGATTCAATTACCCACTCATTTTGATATGCTCGAATATCGAAATATTTAATTCTTGGTCTAAATTATTACTTAATTTAATACAATTATTTTTCCAAAAAGAAAAAAAGGAGGCCCACAAAAGAGCTGACACCTGTACCTTGGTCTGAGATTTCAACACAACAGACAATCTGCCACCACCTTCATACGAAACCTCCAACCAGTGAAACGACGACTTCGTATCATTTTCGTCTTCAACTTTCTCTCTCTCTCTCAAGGATTGAAAATGGGTTCAAGTAGCAGTCGCATGGGAACCTCGCGCTCATCTGGGTCTTCCTCCAGACTCGGTCGCACCAAACATAGACTCTCTTCGCTTTTCTGTGGTGGCTCTACCTCTCAATCACCGTCTGAGGTATCATACAATCCATCACACACACACACACACACACACACAAGTATATTTGTATGTGTGTGAGAGATTAAAATTGATTTTGTTGTTAGAGAAAACCTTTTGTTTGTGTTTTTTCAATTGGGTAATTTTGAAGTTTATACACAAGGTCTGTGGTTGATCAGTTAATGAAAGGACTCCTATAGTTGTTATTTGCGGTTACTCTGTTTGGGTTTATGTGTTGAAGGTTTCATCTTGATCGGTTGATGTAAAAAACCTCTATAAAATTTCATGGTCATTCTTATTTTCTAATGAAATGATTTAGTCTCACAACCACCTTTGTGTATGATCGTTCTTTGTTATGTGTTAAGAGATTGTGTGTATATTAAAAGCTTCCATTCTGATTTTGTTTCTTTCGTATTTTTGGTATTTATGGCTTTATGAGAAGTTTATTCCCTATAATCAGTATTTGTATGTTGATTTTGCCTGGACTTTAGTGAAAATTAGGGTTGAAACATGTCAATGTTTCAGTTAAAAGTTAACTGTTTCATTAATCATGACTTGCTGCGCATCTTCCATCTTCACTCTTGTTACAGCATAATTGCATTTAAATGAAACCGGGAGTAAATGGATTTTTAGAGCTGATATCGATGTGTTGTGAAATTCTTCTCCTGTAGTTTGAAGAGTATCCACAAAAGTCACCGATAAGTTCTCTAGAAAATTTACCTCCTGTTAGTGATGAATCTTGGAGCTCCATTGCAGAAACTTCAATATTTGGTTCGGAAACTGGAGTGACCAGTTCCAAAACTGAGAGTGGGGACTCATCTGAAATCAGTGATGGAACCATTGAGCATGCTTCAGTTGAATATGGTTTGAGAAATGCTGAATCAAATAGCCACGAGACTTGCCTTTCCAACAGTAAGGAATCAGTTTCTTGTCAGGTAAGTTCTGATTGTCTTTCCAAGGATGCATATTTGGATAAGGGTAGTAATACAGCTAGTACTTCCTATAAAGAACAGCCATATCAAGATTCGGTGTCAGCAAACACAAGGATTAGCTTGGTTGCAGGTGTCGGGGCTTATGATTCAGTGTTCGAAGGTGCGTCGATAAATTGTTTGGAGGATACAAATACAAGCAGTGCTGCACGTGGGGGTGCAGATTTATGTGCAGAAGGTGATTTTGCCGAAAATTCTGTGGCTACAGTCATAGCCTCTAGCAGTTCTAATTCTGGGTCTCATTGCATTGATCCTCACCCTGTAGTAAGTCTTCAGTTGGCTGGAGATGACACTACTCGATTGGCATCACCTTCTGGTTCAGAACACCTTGTGTCTGATACTGAGCAGGATCTCAGAACTGGAGACCTACATCATGTTGATGTGGTGAGTATCTCTTCCAACCTGTTATCTAGTAGCATCAATGAAATAAGTAACCGCGAAGCGAGAAGGAATAGTAGAAGACTCTTTTGGGATGCTTTATCAAGGCGCAGTTTTAGAAGATATAGTGATTCACCAACAATCGTTTTCACAACTGATCATGCTGATGATCTAGGATCTCATGACAGATGGTTTCTAGATTTGAGTGGTGATCTCCACTATGATGGAATTGGTCGTGATTCTGTTTACCCGGGCTTTAGAAGCGATCGCAGAAATGAACGGCGCAGGCAATTAAGATCCCAGGTTATGTACTAGCCCTCTTTTTGTTACATATTCTTTAGTGAAAAACTTATTTACTCAAAAATATTGTTGACGAACTTGATTAGTGGTTGACCTAAAAATGGCAAATTCACAGGTAGACATCCCACAATTCTTTTATTGATTTCCATCCAAAATTTACTGTCCTTTTCTGCCCGTTAGCATTTTTTCCTTCATATCACAAGGATACTATTTGTAATTTTGTTTTTTGTTTTCTTGAATTTTGTTGATTTTGATCATGCTGGCAATGGTATATTTTAGTTGCAAAATTTGGATGGAAGTTGATGGAATTTTAATTTGCCACATTCTGTGAAAGTTTTCACTCTAGAGGTGGTTGACCTATCATATCACTTCCATTTCAATTAAGATTTAGGTTCTGGTCACATTAATTCAACTTCATCATTGAACTTGTGCGTGCAAATGCTCGTGTTTGTCTCCTTTCATAAGCGCAGGATTTGCACGTTTGTGTGAAATTATGTTCTAATTTGTGGAGGATGGTGAGATAAAAAAAAATAGCAAATATTTTAGGTTGGAAACCCATCTAACCGCTTACCATGCTGTTCATGCGTTGGAAAACCTCCCCTCGCCCTTCTTTTTCCTGGACATTGAGGTTATTTGACAATTTCCTGCAATATCTTTATAGATCTCAGAAAGAGTTCTTGGTGGCCTTGGTGAGGAAGCTCGGCAGACGGCATTTTGTTCATCTGGGCTCCATCCTGAGGGTACATGCTCATGTGATTCGTTTGATATGGCTGCAGAGTCCAGCGCCCTTGCAAGTATTTCAAGGATAGTCATGCTTGCTGAGGCTTTATTCGAGGTCGATTTCAAATATTCCATGTTTTTCCTAGCTAAATTGTTTAAATTATATTGCATTGGCTGTTCTTGCATTTTAAAGTCGGTAATATTCAAGTTTTTTATTCTTATGTATGTTTGTATCTACTCCTACGAATTTGGAATTTACACTTTGGGAGTTTTAAGTTGCACTATATAGGCCTTGTTTTTATGTAAATGAATCCTTTTCACAGTTGGTGACAAGATATTTATGATTATTGGGCTTATGGGATATGTTTGGCTGGTGTATCTGTAGTCTGTCTGACTGCATTGAGAAAATTGAATTGAAGTGAAAATTTGTCTGATGTGGTGCCAAACAGTGAAATGCTTCCATGTCCTTCAACATAAAAGGGTCCCTCATTGATGACTTAGAAAAATTTATCTAATGAAATCTCAGGTGATGGAATGCTTCCATTTCCATTTATCATCAATATGCTCCCTCAGGGATGACTTAAGTTGTTTGGTCTGACAATCTCTGGGTTAGTTACATGTGCTATACTGCACCTTATGTGACCTGAATCAAATAAGAAATTGACCTAATGGCTTGACAAAACTATGGTTAACAATTTTTTTTAGAAAAAGCTTGATCAGACCATTGTGGTACCTTCCACCAGCTTTTGGGTTTTGGATTGTTCAGATATCTAGTGGGCCATTAGTGATAATTACATGCATTTTGTAAGTTATTCCTTATTCTTTTTGTGGTAGAACAGAAATAATAAGAAGATTTTGGAAATTTAAAATCATACTGTATTGTGGATTTAGTTATATATTGTGAAAAATAGGTATGTTAATATACTTTTACCAGATAGTGGTGTCGTACGGCTGTAATAAAGGTACTTTTAATTCTACTTGCAAAAAACTTTTTTGTTTCCTGTTGTAAATGTATTGGAGTTATAAATGCACTGGTTTTTTTATAAATTAAGCTGATAGTTATAGTACATTTGTTGATGTCTAATTTGTAGGTTTTGGATGAGATTCATCGCCAGCCTCTTTCACTATCCATGCTCAATCTCCCGGCTCCAGAGTCTGTTGTAAACTCATTTCCTCTTAAGAATCACAAAAAGTTAGATGCAGCTGAAAGTGGACCAAATGATGTGCCACAGTAAGTTTTCATAAATTATTGATGGGAAGATATTACACCTTGGTTCATTTGCAATCAATGGTTTTTGATGGAAAAATTACACAGTTTAGTCCGCCCCTAGTAATATGAATGAGAGGATTCGAATGTTGATTCTCTTTGGTGTTCAGATTATATAGAAACTGCAGGCTGGAAGGGTGCAAGTTAAGTTCAACTTCAAGAAATATATAAATGGGTTGAAATCTTATTAGATATCATCTCTTCGTCTTCTCAAAGTGAAAAGAGGAGAATTCCCTTATGGTATATGGTGCTATTGGGGAAGTATCTTATATCACAGTTAGATGTATTTTTTCTGCAAACTGATAAATAGCGTAACAGTCTTCTTTGGAAATAAGTGCTTTTTAAAATTCCAATAGAGACATCTGTATACCAAAGACTGATTTGGCTATCTAGTGCAGCACCCCAAAACAAATAGTAGACTTCTTTTTTTTTTGGTTTGACACATAGTAGTCTTGACATTCAAAGAAAGATGTAGTTTTAGCCGTTGACTAAATATAGTGTTGAGGATGCAGGTGGTCTACTTTGTAGAACAATAAGCTCATCATGTCCATTTGAACTAAAGTTGGATGTTCCGTGCTTGCTTGCTTCCTAATACCATGCTATTTTCACAATTTGAAAAGCTAGTTTTAAGTGGTACATGTGACTTTGACATTTTTATTGACTTTTTGGTGGTTATTTATTGGGCATGTTGTATCACTCCAAGAGGAATATGCTTTAGACTTTGAGATTGTGTTGTTTGAACGTTGTTTAATCTTAGGTAAACCAGTGTTTTGGTTTTTTTTTTTTTGGGGGGGGGGGGGGCATTTCTCGGTGATTATCCTTAATATTTGTATTAAAGAATTAAGGTTCTGGAAAACATTTTGCTGCCTAATGAATTTGAGGTATAATAAAAGCACCATAGAAGGTGGAAAATAGTACCCCATGGTTCTATCTTGAAATTATCATTAGGATTCATATATTTAGGAATTATGCAAAACGCATGTAAAAATATGGGTAGCATTGGCATTTTTTTAGTTGTCTTCATAAGATTTTTTATTGCATTTTGTCAATAGACTGTGCCAAGTTAATCTCACTGTTTTCTTTTCCAGTTTTCTTCCCCCCCCACCCTTTTCTTTCTTTTTTCATCCCCAATTCTCTGGCCATTAATGGTCCTTTTACTGATTTTGAAAGGAAGATTGGTAGTTTGTTTATGGAAGTTGCTTTCTGAGTAGCTCAATAAAGACCAATTGTATATTATCATGTAAAAGTACCAAATCTAAATCCTCAGCATCACGTAGTAGTGATATGATTAACAGGTGTTACATTTGCTTGGCTGAGTACGAGGAAGGGGATAAATTAAGAGTTCTCCCTTGCCATCATGAGTATCATATGTCATGCGTTGATAAATGGCTCAAAGAAATAAACGGGTATTTTTTCTCATCCATACCTTTTGTTGTTTTTACTTTATCCGAGTGCTGTTTTTTTTCTTTCAGTGGAAATATAATTTCTTATGTAAAGTGGCTCCCACTTCTTGCTCCTTTGCTGGTGATTCAGGGTATGCCCCCTCTGCAGAAGCAATGTTTGTGAGGGTGCTTCCCAGAATTCTATCCCAAACACGGAAACCCCATCCCAATGATGCATAGTATGTATTTATACATATACCTGTAAATAAGGTCATGTACTGATATGTTTCTGTCTGTTGTTTTGTATCTCTCAGTTCCAGTTTTTCCTTTTAATCTGATAGTGCATATTATATTGTAAGAATATGATTATGCAATAATATTTTTTGTCAAAATGGAAGTCTTTTCTGTATATTCATTTAGAGTTGAATACAATCGTATATAAATACAAAGCCAGAGGAATTGTTGGAACCTATTCTAGCCTATACACATTTTGTGTCTAAAAATAAGGATGGCCCTTGAAGTATGGGATTTACATAAAAACAGATTTCTCTACTTATCTAATTAGACAGCTCACGCCAACACTCCCCTCAAGTTGGTGCATAGATATCTCTGATGCCCAACTTGTCAAGTGAGTTGTAGAAGTTGCTTGCAGACACTGCTTTTGTAAGTATATCAGCCAACTGGTCTTCTGATTTAACAAATGGAAGCTGAATAATCTTTTCTTCAAGGCTCTGTTTGATGAAGTTCCGATCCACCTCAACGTGCTTAGTGGGATCATGTTGGACCGGATTGTGGGAGATGGCAATGGCCGCCTTGTTATCACAGAACAAGTTCATTTCAGAACTGGGAGCAACACCGATCTCAGCTAGCAGCTTTTCAGCCAAAGGAGCTCACATATTCCCTTGACCATTCCCCGAAATTCAGCTTCAGCACTAGACAAGGCAACTACCTTTTGTTTCTTGCTCCTCCATGTAACCAAGTAGCCTCCCACAAAAGTAAAGTACCCAGCAGTAGATTTCCTGTCCGTGATGTTCCCTGCCCAGTCCGCATCTGTGTAGCCAGCAACATTCAAATGACCATTCTTTGATTACATAAGCCCTTTCCTAGGAGAAGACTTCAAATAACGAAGGATCCGCATTACGGGATCCATATGGTCTTCACTCGGGCAGTGCATGAACTGACTCACTACACTCACAGCATAAGCAATATCTGGCCGAGTATGAGATAAATAGATGAGTTTACTCACTAACCGTTGATACCTCTGTTTGTCCGCTGGTACCTGGTCTACATATTCTCCAAGTTTATGATTTTGGACAATTGGAATATCAGCAGGCTTACACTCTAGTAATCCTACCTCTGCCAGCAAGTCTAGTATATATTTCCTTTGGGAAAGAAATATGCCTTGTCTTGACCTTGCCACTTCAATGCCCAAAAAAATATTTAGGCCCTCTTAAGTTCTTCATCTCAAACTTAGTTGACAATTGCTCTTGAAGCCTGGATATTTCTTCTACATCATCCCTTGTAATGATCATGTCGTCTACATAGACTATGAGGGCTGTTATTTTTCGCACTCGATGTTTTAGGAAAAGAGTATGATCAGAATTGCTTTGTTGAAACCCATATTTCCTCATTGCCGAACTCAACCTGCCAAACCATGCTCGAGGTAATTGCTTTAGTCCATACAATGCTCGTTGTAATCTACATGCGATTTTTTCTCTGAGGTAGCAGAAAAACCTGGTGGAATATCCATGTAAATCTCCTCTTCAAGATCACCATGGAGGAAGGCATTTTTCACGTCCAGTTGGTGCAATGGCCAATCTAAATTTGCTGCAAGAGATAACAGAACTCTAACAGTTGTTAGTTTGGTTACCGGTGAGAAAGTTTCTTGATAATCTATACCATATTTCTGTGTATAACCCTTTGTTACCAACCTCGCCTTGTATCGATCAATAGACCCATCTGCTTTATATTTAATGGAGAAAATCCACTTGCACCCCACAGTCTTCCTTCCTTCAGGCAACACACTCAAATACCATGTGTTATTTTTCTGCAACACCTCCAATTCTTCTTTTATAGCTCGGGCCCATTTCGGATCTGATAAGGCTTCTTCAACACTACTCGGAATCTGACATGAGGAGAGTGTATATGCAAAAGCCTTGAGAGGTTCAGATAATCTTTGAATAGACACATAATTGGCTATTGGATACTTGGATCTCCGTTCTTCTATGTCTGGGGAGTATCGATTTGGTGGCTTGCCTCGATTGTGTCTGAAAGGTAGGACATAACCCGCAGATGTATCTATAACATTAGTTTGTAAAGGTACTAGAGCTTACCTCAGGGATATTCTCAGTAGGAGGGTCGTTGGGTACTAAAGAGTGAAGAGATTCATCAGATTCTGCATCTCCCATGATTCAGGTACTGGTTCAGCTTCAGTTCTAGGTACAGGTTCAACCATGTCGTCGTCATCATTCGGATGTGCTAGATTGTCATCAATGTCCAGCACTTCAACATCAGATCAATTCCGTTCTTCACCATAGATCTCCCCCTGGAGAGGGGAATTGGATATCGGTGATGGAAATTTTTTTTTAGATTCTAGGAAAGTGACATCCATGGTAATGTAGATTCTTTTAGCAATGGGATCGTAGCATCTATATCCCTTTTTGTGTACTCCATACCCCAAAAATAAACACTGGACAACACATGGATCCAACTTAGTTCGTTGATTCTTATGGACGTGAACAAAAGCAACACAACCAAAAATTCAGGGAGGAATCATCAAAACATTAGGTAATGAGACATGATCGGAAAGCACCTTTAATGGAGTCTGAAATTGCAAAACTTTGGTGGGCATACGGTTCAGTAGATGCACGGCTGTGGCAACAGCATCACTCCAGTATTTATTTGGCACATGTGCATTGATCAATAGAGCACGGGCAGTTTCTAAGATATGCTTATTCTTTCTTTCTGCAGTACCATTCTGTTGTGGGGTTTGTGAACATGAGGTTTCATGGAGAATACCATGACTGTTGAAGTATGGCTGGAATTGTTGATTAACATATTCCCTTCCATTGTCAGAACGAAGGATCTTAATTTTTGTAGAAAATTGTGTCTGAACCATGGTATGAAATGATTGAAAAATAGTAAAGACTTCATCTTTGTGTTTTAGGAGGTAAAGCCATGTCATTCGTTTGCAATCGTCAACAAAAATTACAAACCAACGATGACCAGAAGACGTAGTTACTGGGAAAGGTCCCCAAACATCAAAATGGATTAAATCAAAAGGAATCATACTTTTATTCATACTCAGGGGATAAGAAGCCCTATGACTTTTGGCTAAGATACAAGTATCACATTTAAAATCTAAGTGTGTTACATTGGAAAATAAACCAGGCAGTAAGTGCTTCAAATACCCAAATGATGGATGCCCAAGTCGATGGTGCCATAACCAAATCTATCTTTCCTTGTTACCAACCGTGTGGTGCATGTGATTTGCTCTTCCTGAACTGAAGTCATCCACATGATATAACCCCCCCCTCTTAGTACAACGCCCAATCATCTCCTTGGTGAGAATATCCTGAAGAAGGCAAAAGGTATAATACATAAATACCACACAATTAAGATCTGTAGTAACTTAACTTACAGACATCAGTCTGTTTGAAAGAGAGGGTACAAGTAATGTATTAGATAATGAAAGGGAAGGAGATAAAGTCATTGTTCCAGCCCCTGTAATCGGATAAGTGACCCCATTGGCATTTGCAACACAGCTCCGTCTCGGCTGAGTTGTATTAGAGAAATCCTTTCAATCAAATGTCATGTGGTCTGTAGCTCCAGAGTCGAGAATCCAATAATCATCATCATTGCGAGTAGAGATATGAAATGCCTTACTAGAAGTACCTGGTTCATGTGAAGATTCTACTTGAGGGATGAGGGATAACGAAGGATCACAGGTAACCACAGCAGCTCTCCCAGTGTGGTCATCATTAGCAGAGGCTTTACGCTTTTTTTTGTGGTTGAAAGTCGTTCCACCAATCTGGATACCCATGTAGTTTGAAGCAGGTGTCACAGGTGTGTTTGGAGTTGTCACAATGGGTACACTTTATGCCATTAGATGGTGGTTTGGTTTTGGATGAGGGGTTGGATTTTTCGCTGCTCAGAGAAAGAGCCCCTGGTTTCGGTGGCATCTGGTGGTGACTTCCCTTGATCCCTTTGGAAGCCATTTGGAAGCCATAACTGTTCCTGGAGTAGTATTTGCACCCGAGATCATCACCGTCTGCCTGACCTCTTCCCTATGGACAAAAGCGTAGGCCTGTTTCACCGTAGGGAATGGTTTAATTTGGAGCACATCACTTCGAGTTTTATCCAATCTGTCATCTAGTCCATCAAGGAAAGTATAAACCCGATCCTCTTGTAGAATCGAGTTGTATTTCTGTATGTCAATAGCACACTCCATCGGGTTAGGACGACGAAAATCAATTTCTCGCCACAACCCTTGAAGGTCGTTGTAGTATTTTTCAATATATCCACCCGCTTGCTTCATACGAGTGACACGACGCCGGAGATCATAGACTTGAGACTATCTGTCCCATCGAAATAGGTTGTAGCAGCAGAATCCCAAACCTGTTTTGCAGTTGGGAAGCGGATAAAATTGGCAATCAAGGAAGGGTCCATCAAATTGATCAACCAACCCTTGACAATGGCGTTTTCGGTTCGCCATCTCCTGAATGAAGGATCGGTTTCTGGAGGCTGAGGGGAATCTCCATTTATGTATCCCAACTTGTCCTTGCCAGAGATATACATCTCGACAACCTGGGACCGTAAGGCATAGTTGGATCCTTCCAACTTGATACCGATTGGAGTAGTTGAAGAATCGGCAAGCAGAGGTTGAGGGGAGGTCTGGGCTCTAGTCAAGACCTCCGTCATTTTTGTCGTCAGATCGTTAAGGATGGAATTGGTCTGGGGAATGAGAGGTTGTGTTAGGTCTCCTGACTCCGCCAGGGAGTCTATAGGGTCTGGGTTATTCCTGGTTACACGGTGGCTTGGGCAGAGGTCCTAAGGACATGATTTGATACCATGTCAAAATGGAAGTCTTTTCTGTATATTCATTTAGAGTTGAATACAATCGTATGTAAATACAAAGCCAGAGGAATTGTTGGAACCTATTCTAGCTTATACACATTTTGTGGCTAAAAATAAGGATGGCCCTTGAAGTATGGGATTTACATAAAAACAGATT